CTGGTGAGTCCTCTCACCCCAGCACCTCTGGCCTGCACCCCAGCTCTACAAAATAAATAAATATTAAAACGACAACAAAAAACAAACAAAAGGTGCCTCCCTGGTGGTGCAAGGTGTTAGTCTCAGCACTAGGAAGCTGATACCAGCCACTGTGGCCTGGGTTCGATCTCTGGCCAGGAAGCAACCCACAGGGCACAGCATACCTCTCCGGTCTCCCCGCTGCTCCCCTCAGCAGTGTCTTTGGTCAGTCTGCCTGTTCTGCTCCCCACTCCGTCTCTGGTGAGTCCTCTCACCCCCCCCCTCTGGCCTGCACCCCAGCTCTTGCATGCATAAGTAAATAAATGTTTAAAAAACAAACAAAAACACTCCATAAAAATCAATGATGTAGCCGCGATGAGATTTTCCGCCCCACGCGTGAGAGCCGGGCGGAGCAGACCAGGCCTGAAGGCCACGCGAGTGACGCTGCACTAGTTGGGGGCTCTCTCCTCGCCAGCTCCCGCGCGCTGCTGGTGTGGGGCGTGGCTCGGGCCTGGGGTGGGTGCCAGCGGAGAAGCTGAGCCCCGAGTCGGAGGTGGGTGGAGTGGGGGAAATTGCACCAGCACCACCGGGTCCTGCTGTCGCCGCTTCACACAAACTAAACGTCCATCCTGAGCACGGGCCGCGGCGCTAATGCCCGACTGTAAACCGGGCGGCCAGGGCCTGAGGTCGCTCCTGCCTCCGGGTGAAGGGCCGGTGGCTCGTCTCCTCCGCAGTTGTCCAGTCACCCGGCTTTCCCCTCTGGCGCCTGCGGCACTTTGGTCACCCCCGTCGCCGCGCCCTGCCTTTCCTGCGCCCCAGCCAGTGGCGCGCGTTCGCCTCCTCCCGGCCGGGAGCGCAGAGGTGCGCGGCCCAGCCCGGCCTGCCCCGGCCACCGCCGGGCAGCCCTCGCCCAGCAGAGGCTCTGGGATGCGCCCTCTCTGGGCTGCCCCTCCCTGGCCGCCCCCTGTCCCATAAAGCCTCTTTACCAGGCTACTGCACCCCACAGGCGTCGCTCCCTCCCGCCCTCTGGGTGAAGTTTGCCACCAGAGCTCAGTCCCTGCTTGGCAGGTACCAGCCTTCGAAGACTTCGCAAGCCGGACGTTCCAGGCCGTGGGCCCCAGGGCGGCCCAGGGGATCCTGGGGCTCTTTATCTCTCCAGGGGCACCAGCCGCCGGCCCTGGGGTCACTCCTGGACCCCAGGGCAGTTCTGGGCACACAGCACGGTGCGGCAGCGCCCTCTGGTGGCGAGGCCCCGCCAGGGCGCACACGGCGGGTCCGCGGGCCGGGGAGAGGCCGGGCCGGGGTGCGCTGAGCACAGCGGGGAGGGACGTGGGGTCCCGCGCCGGAGCTCGCAGATGCGGGGGGCACCCGCCCGGCCCCCACCTGTCCCTGACCAGCCAAAGGCAAACGCTTTCCTTCCCCACCCCAGCCCCGGCCGCCCGGGGAGCCCTCGGCAGGCGTCCCTGTGGGGCGCACCCTCCAGACAGCGCTCGGCGGACTCCGGGGCTGGGGACGCCCACCTGGGCAGCCTCCCCACCTGCCCGGGCCAGGCACCCCACTCCAGCTCTCCCCGACGGGCACTGGGGAGCAGACGTCTCCCCATCCCACCCCAGCGAAAGGCGCCAGGGCTGAGCCGAGCCCGGGGGAGGCCGGAGGAGCCGAGGCTGGTGGGGCGGTGGGGGGGCTCACAGCAACCCGGGGTGCGGGCAGGGCGGGAGGAGAGGGAATTGAGTCCCGGAAGTCAGATTTTCAAAGAAAATTGTCAACTGCACTAATAGTTCAGCCAAGCTGCTCTGTGTGTTGAGCGTGAGCTTGACCAGGAACACGCGTCCCCCGGGATCTGCAGGAGGAGGGTCGGGGCGCGGGGCCTGAGCGGGGCCTGAGCGGCCGAAGCAAAGCCCGACTCCGGGCTGCGCTCAGGGGCCGGCGGATGCCCCAGCAGGCCTCCCGCGCTGGGGAGAGGCGGGCGGGCGCCTCCGGGTGCTGTGGGCAGAGTGGCGCAGGGTAAAGGGCCCCTCCCTGGCTCTGGCCCTCAGCTCCGGACGGGCTCGGGTTGGTGTCCACGCCTCCCGGACACACCGGTCACCTTCCCGGCTCCCGCTGTGCGGAGGCTGCGGCAGGCGCAGGGACCAGGAGCCCCGGGGTGCTCTGGAGCCCGCAGGGAGAGGCCCAGCCACGAAGCCACAGAAGAGGCTCGCGAAGCCCTCGGGGCCCAGGGAGGGGACGGGGCGGCGAGGGCCGCGCGAAGTGTCTCCTTGGCGGGACGGAAACGGCCTCAGCGGCTGTAACGTCCACGTCCACCTTCCTCATTTATAACTGACCCGTCTGTCTTACTGTCTGTGATTGAACCGAAAAGCAAATGCTGTCCTCTGGGACTAGTGAAACACTTTAATGCTAATGAAACATTTCACTCTAGTTTATATACCGAGTTCCTTCAAGCCTTCCCAGGAGCATGGCTCGCACCGCCAAGGCTGCAGGAGTCTGACCCAGCCTAGCGCTGCGCGGGCAGGACAGGGGTGGGGCCGGTGCAGATGGGAGGAGAGGGGGTGCTCCCTGCCAGCCGGGGGTGCTCCTGCCAGTCGGGGGTGCTTCTGCCGGTCAAGGATTTAAGGCAATCGAGGAGGGCGGAGAAGCACGGTGTGAGGAAGCTGTAAGTGAGGAGCAGGGGTGTCTGAAGCCCCGCTCACCAGCTGAGCCCCTGCGCCCCAGCAGCCGTGCGGAGGGAGGCGCAGACTCAGCCAGAGGCAGTGCGGGCGGGGTCCGGAGGGCGCGCTGGCCAGCACCCAGCCCCAGCCCCAGCCCTCAGAGCGGTCCCGGCCCACGGCCTGGGGTGCGCCAGCTTCAGTTTGGTCTGATTCCACTTTTTTCTCTTCCCCGTTTTTTAAAAATGTGTGTATTTCCCCCACCACCTTCCCTGGCTTCCCATGACCGTCTGCCTGCCCGCCCCGTGGGCCTTGGGCACCCCCAGTCCACGGGGGTCCGCCGGTGTTGGGAGCCATTGTCCAGACATCCGCGCTGCAAGCGCCGGGGCCGCCCTGGTCCTCCGCCGCCCGCTGCCGGGAAGGCCGCGTCTCCTCCCTCCCCGGCTGAGCGCCTCCCGTGGGCGGGCAGGCCCCGTCTCGGGGGCCACACCTCAGTGGCCCGTGCCCGCCCGGGCGTGCGGGGGTGGGCATGGTCTCAGGCTCCGCGGGCAGAGGCCAGGGGGGCACAGCGGGGTCGCCCGGCATTTCCACTTTCAGTGTTTTAAGGTGAATCCAGGCTGTTTTCCACAGTGGCCGCGCCAGCCCACATCCCACCCGCGGGGGCAGGGTGTTTGTTAATTTTTCTTTTCTTGTCTGAGCGTCGGTGTCACCCCCAAGAGGCCAGGCCCAGGCCGTCCAGCCGCCCTTCCGGCTCTCGCGTGGCCAGTCGGAGGCATTTCGAGTTGACCTTGTGTGTGGGGTGAGGGTCGGTCTGGTCCGGGTGCGGCCGCCTCCCCCGCGCCGGGGCGTCCTGCCCTGCCTGTCCCGGCACCGGGAGCCGCCGAGCCGGCCCGAGCCCCCTCCCGCCCACCCCCGCCTCCCGCCAGCAGGCTCTGCTTCCCGGAGCCCACTGCAACCGCCTAGGATCAGTCTCTCACTTTGCACAAGCACTGTCGCTTCTGGAGAGTCCGCCGGCGCCGCGTGACGGAGCGTTCCGTTCCTGTTTATCCAGCAAGGCTCGCAGGTTCATTGGTTTTTCTGCTCATCGTTCCTGATTTCTCGCCTGCCCCGTCACGCCGCTGCTGCCCTCGAAGCGCGGCCCCGCCCGAGTGCCCGCCCGGGGCGCGCGTGGTGTCAACGCTGCGTGTCTGCGTCTCTCCACGCGGCCTTCGCGGCCGGCCTTGGGGACAAGTGTCCCGTAGGTCCGGGGCTGCCGGCGACAGGGGCGGGTCGGCAGCCCCTCCCGGGCCCGGCTGCCGCGGCCGCTGCGGCTGGAGCTGAGGCGCCTGGTGCTGGGCGGACGCCGAAGTCAGACGAGAACGGAGAAGACGCCCCTCCGACCCTCCCCGCCCCCAGGCCGGCAGGCGTGTCCTGCGGGTGCCCCGCGTGAGGCTGGCCGCAGCCCTCAGCCCTGGGGCCGCCCGAGCCCCATGTCCGCCCAGAGACCAGCTCGGGCCAGGCGGACGCCGCGTCGCCCCGAACCTCCCCCTCGCTTCGCCGCTGTTTTTAAAGAGGACGGGCGCCAAGTCCCCGAGCAGGGCTGCACGTTACGCGCTCGTGCGCCGCCCACAGATTCAACCAGGGATTGTAAAGACGTAAACACCACGGGTGACCCTGGGAAGCCACAGGCCCAGGGCTAGAAAGTCAGAGCAGACTCGGACTCGAGGCCGAGCGCGTCTCGGGGCTGAGGGCGGACGGCGGGTCCCCGAGGGGCGGCGGCACAGGGTGGCGCCCGGACACCCAGGGTCACGCAGACGCGCAGCCCGCCCAGGCCGCCGCCACCGCGGCCATGACACGCCACCCGCCGCTGTCGCCGGCCGGAGGGGCCGGGTCCTGTCAGACAGACTCCGAGAAGCGGTCGTGACGGCCCCATAGGGGCGGCCCCGGGTCTCCTGCTGCTCCATGATGCCCAGGAGGCCGCGGCGCGGCCCTGCACGGCCTCCTCTGCCAGGCCCTGAATCCCGTGACCATGAACCGTGTCCGGACAGAGCCACCTCAGCTCCCCGCCATCAGCGGGACGGTTCCGTCCGGGGCGCATTCGGATTTCCCTTCCCGGACCAGAGCGTCCTGTGGCCCCTGCAGCTGGCAGGGCCCCGGGGTGGGAGGCTCCCCGGCTCCCAGGGCTGTTCTACCTCATAATGCCAAGGGTAGCTGAACCTGGGGCGCAGGCGGGAAGCCCCGAGCTGCCCACACCCTCCAGAGGGGCCCCCAAGCCTCCCCTGCCCGCGAGGGCCCGTCAGCGGCCCGGACCCAGACCCAGCACGTCCCTGGCACCCCCCAGCACCGCCGGGGCGGACTCACCCTGGCAGCTCAGCAGGAAGAAGTCGGCACTGGGGCTGAAGGCGGCGCTGAAGTAGGTGCAGTTGTCCACCAGGTCGCAGGACAGGCACTGCCGGTTGAAGCTGCCCACCGTGCTGGCGCTGGGGAGAGACGTGGGTGAGCGCCGCCCACCCGCCAGCACCCAGCTGACCAGCTCTGCCCGGTGCCCGGCCCTCCCTGCGCCCTCCGGGGCGGGCCAGGCTGTGTTGGGCCTGAGCTCCTTCCGGCCGCCCCAGGGGCTTCGCCGTGCCTGGCCTCTCCTCACACAGGGGACCCTGCAGACGGTGCTGGGGCGCTGGACCCTGGCGGCCTCTACTGGCCCGTGACAAGGTGGGGGCTCGGGGAGGAGGGCGGAGTGGAGCTGAGGATGCTCCCAAGCCGCTGTCCCCTGAGAACAAGGTGCCCCCGAGGGGCAGGAGCAGGGGTCCGGCCCAGCCTGGCCACGCCCACCTCCCCGCCCCGCCATGGCCTCTGGAGTGGAAAAGCTCAGGAGCTGCTTCCTGGGCACCCTGTGGGGGGCCGGCTCCTCCACGCAGCCAGCGTGCCAGGCCCGGTGTGCGGGCCCCGGGGCCCTGCAGGAGCTCGGGGCAGAGGCCCCGGCAGGCCACTCCCTCGGCCACCTCCATTAACCTGGCGGCAGGGCAGATCTCAGCCGCCCGGGGGACACCAGTGACGATGACGAGTGAGCACACGGTTTGTCCAGCAAGCGCTCCCCTCTGAGAGGACCCCACTGGCCGGCCGACACGCTCTCCTATGGCCGGCAGGGAGACAGGGGCTTCCCCGGCTGCCCCACTGTCCTGGCCTCGGGCCCAAGACCTAGTTTTCCCCAGTGGTGACGTCACAAGGTCGTGTCGTGGGCTGGCAGGTGTCATGCGAGACAGAGGAGTTGGGGCCCTGATCCTCGAGGGGGCGGGCAGCAACTGGCCACTCCCCCTCTCTCCCCAGCCCCCTCCTGGAGAGCGGCATCGGGGTGCACTGGTGAAATCGGGACTAACCCCACTTTGCACCCAGAAGCCCCGGCGAGGACAGGGACTGGGGCAGGTAAACAGAGGACAGAGCGGGCATCACACCCCCACCTGCTCCAGGACGCAGGGCCCCCCGCCCGCCTCTGCCTCTGGGGGCCGGGCCTTGCCTGGGGTGGGCACACTGGCAGAGGCCCTGGGCCCTGGAGGGGGGGGTCCCCCGTCCCCGGCCTCTCCCTGAGCCAGATGTCCCCCCACGGAGAGCCTGGGCACAAGGGCCCTGCGAGCCCACAGTTAAAGGGGGGTCAAGTGTCCCCCGCCCCGCAGGGAGTAAGAGGGATGAGGTGTGACAGAAGCAGGACAGTACATGAAGCTCCGTGTCTGGGCCCCGGTGCTTCCGGGACGTCTCCCCAGGCTGAGCTGCCGCCTGTGGCCGGAGGTTCTTTGCAGCTCCCCGACGGCCACTGGGGGCATTGGTGGGGTGCCCTGGCAGGTGTTGTGGGGGGCGCACCTGTACAGCTGGCGTCTCCTGGGCAGGTCCTCCGTGCTGAGGAAGTAGCTGCAAAGAGAGCAGGGTGCCCAGGGTTAGTCGGCCCAGGCGCCCCACACCAGGCTCCTCCCCTGCAGACACCTCTCTGCAGGGACCCGGGCCCAGGGGCCAGCAGGGGGACTGGCCAGCACGGACTCATCCCCACCAGCCTCCGCCCTGAGCCCAGGGCTCTGTCAGGAGCAGGGACGGTGGTGGGGGGCCCTGGGTGTGGGGTGCTCCTGGGTGTGCAGTGCTCCTGGGTATGGGGTGCTCCTGGGTGTGGAGTGCCCGTGGATGTGGGGTGCTCCTGGATGTGGGGTACTCCTGGATGTGGGGTGCTCCTGGGTATGGAGTGCCCTGGATGTGGGATGTCCTGGGTGTGGGGTGCTCCTGGATATGGGGTGCCCCTGATGTGGGGTGCTCCTGGGTGTGGGGTGCTCCTGGGGGTAAGGACTGAGAACACTCCGCGCAGGTCAGACCTGAAGTTTGGGGGGCATCTCCCATCATCCGGTTACTGAACCCTGAGTTGGGACCTTGCTCCGGGCATGGGATTGGGGTGAGCAGCTGCTGGGCCCTGATCCCGTAAACGAGATGGTGTGGGGGCCACTCACTCGTCGGCTCCACGCTCACCACTGTGGTCCTCCCATCCCTGGCCCAGGTCTGCGCGTCCCCCAACACGGTGCATGGATGGGCTGGGCAGCACCCGCCCTAGTTCACGAGGAAGGGAAGGTGCCTGGCGGGAAGGCAGGGTTCCGGGGGGGGCCCTCCGTGCTGTGCCCAGTGTGGCCGCAGGCGCCCGGGGCCGACCGGGGGCCCCACACTCACATCGTGTTCCGCTTCTCGTCGTAGGACAGGATCCTGGTCACGTCCCAGTCCCCGGAGGTGATGGACTGGATGTTGTCGTTGCTGTTGTTGGGCTGCAGCCGCAGAAGGACGCGGTCAGCGCGGGGGCCACGCGGTCAGCGCAGGCACCGAATGAGAACAGTTCTGCGCGGGCGCCGAGCTCCCCACAGCCCCTCCGGGCACTCGGCAGGGACCGCGCCCGCCGGGGCCCACCAAGGGGGGTTTGGCGCTCAGGAGGAGGAGGAGGGGCCGGGGTGCCCGGAGCCCCCACCCGGAGGGAGCCCGCAGACACCTCCAGGCGGGCTGGCCCCGGCCGCGGCCCCACCGGCTCTGACCCACGGCTTCTGACGGTCGCCAAGGGCCGGCCCTGGCACGGGCCTGCCCCTCCCCCCCGGGCTGCAGGCCCCGTCCCGCCCGCCCCGCGCGCCCCCAGCCGCCCGGCTCACCTGGGACGAGGACACGGTGATGTGGTAGAACTTCCCCTGCCCGCCCTGCGGGATGGCCCTGACGAAGAAGAACTTGCGGCCGTCCTTGGAGAACACGGGCTCCTCATTCTGGGGGCGAGAGGCGGCTTTTGAGCCCCGAAGAGCCGCGAAGAGCCGCGCTTGCCGCGGGGCGCCGGGCAGGACAGGGCGCTGCGGGCACCTGGGGCGATTTCTCCCGGGGCAGCAGCGACCGGTGCGGGGGGCCTTTCCTTCCCGGCCTTGGCCAGCTCCGCGCAGAAGGGGCCGGTGGGGCTGGGGGCGCCTGAGGGGGCACGGCGAGAAGCCGCCCGGCCCGGCGGGGCCTCCCGTCCGCGCACGGCCCGGGAACACGATTCTGAGTGGCCACAGCCCCACGTGGCCTGTCCTGTCAGCCCGGCCTCCTGTCCGCTTTAACACAGCCCACCCGGGGCCGGAGAGTCCGGCCAGGGCCCTGCAGACAGGGGGCACGGCCCCCATGTGCTGCCACAGCCCCTCCCCCCCCAGCAGCCCACGCCGGCGCGGCTCGGGCTGCTCTGCGGCTGCGGCTCAGTCCCTGGAAACAGTCCCCGGCCCGGGAGGGCGGCGGCTGGATCCCCCGAGGGCCGCGTGGCGCGGCTCACAGCAGCCCCTGCTCGCCCGGCGCGGCGCCTGCCACAGGAGCCTGCCAGGGCCCGGCGGGAGCTCCGGACAGTGGGGTGCGGGGGCGAGTGGGGGCACCGAGGCGGGCGCTGAGCTTCCCCGGGACAAACACGCCCCCGCCGCCGAACACAAGCAACACGCGGACAAGCCGGCAAATTCACTGGGAGGGAGCGGGGAGGAGGCAGACAGGCCGGGGGCGTGAGGGGGGCTGCCGGGGAGACGCCAAGCCAGCCCCGAGCCCCCGCGTGCCGGGCGCCCCTACCCGGCCCCGCTGCCGCCCCTGCCCGCCGCGGCCTTGACGGGCGAGCAGGGAGTTCGCGCCGCAGCTTCGAGGCTTCAGGCTCCCGTTTGAGAGTTTCCATCCGCGAAGGACGAGCAGCCGGCGGCGACAGCCATTTTCTGATTCGAGGGGCTCGTGCGGATGCGGGGAGGGGACCCCTCGGTCAATGCACCCCGGCTGGCGGGGGCGGCTCAGCGCCCACGGGGCGCGGAAACATGCAAATAAGACGCGCCCAGAGATTACACCAGCACGTGATTAAAATGACATTTAATCTTCATGAATATTTGCAATAAAATGAAAGCTTTAATCTGCAAATATTTATCTTTCTATTTAGACCCCGGAGCGTGGGATTTAAAAGTAGGGAAATGCAAAGAGCGGCGGTAAATTCGGCTTTTAAAATGCATTTCTGTTTGGCGAGCGCGGGCCGGACTCCTCGGCGCGGCCCGTGTCCTGGGGACATGTTTGCGCTCCGGCAGCGAGAGAGCAACGCCCGAGAAACGGAATAAATAATTCATCCTGGCCAGAAGCGTCGTTTCCACACGGCGAAGGCTTCAGCTGCGTCGGTGCCATCTCCACGCTGGTCTGGGGGCCCCGCGGGGTGGGGTGTGTGTGGGGGGGTGGGGTGTGTGTGGGGGGGGTGGGCCCGCCTCTGCTGCTCCCCGAGACGCGGCCTCGCCCGAAGCAGGTGCGCTTTAGCGACAGCGCAGAGGTCTGGCGGGAGACCCGGCGTGGAGCCGGGGCGGGGGGCAGCGCTGTGCCCCTGGGTGAGGAGACGGCCGTGCGGGTGCTGGGTCCCCGCGGAGGGCCCGCCGGGAGCGGGTCTTCCCAGCGAGAGTCTTCGGACGCTGTGAGTCTTTGCGACCACGTCTCCAGGGCCCGGGAACCCCGTCTTGTGCGGCTCCCCGGCCCGGAATGTAAACCCCACGACTGAAGCCCCGGGTCCAGGACACGGCTGTTGTGACTTGGAAAGTGCCCCTGTCGGGGCGCCAGGCCCCCTTCCGCCCTGGGGGTGAGGCCGAGCCCCCGCTCCCGCCTGCCCCCACAGGCTGGGCATCCGGTCTGGGGGTCACGCCCCCGCGCCCTCAGGCCCCTCAGGCCCCTTTCTGCACGTCCCGCCTCTGAGCGGCTCTGGCTGACCCGGGTCCGTGCAGCTGCAGGCGAGCCTCGCAGCGCTGGTTGGCTCCTCAGAGTGGTTTGGCTCCGACGAAGAGGCGAAGCGTGGGACGTGGCCCGGGGAGGCCGAGGCCGCCGCGGGAGTGTGGGCGCGGCTCAGACCTGGTCCTGCTCCCAGAGGGTGACACCCGGCCCCGTCCTCCCTCTTGACCTCGGAAACATCACTTGGCGTTTCTGCTGGCGAGGGTCCGGCACCGTCTGTCCTCCTGGCGGGGCCGCTGCCCCCCTTGCTCGGGCTCCCCCACGGGGCCGCAGCGGGGTCTCCTGGGGCTGAGCCGCGTCGCGGTGCGTCCAGTCCCCCCTCAGTCCTCGGGCCCCGTGTGCGGCTGCGGCGGGAGCCTTGAGGGTCTCACGTCTCGGAGCCCCCAGGAGGGGCTGCTGGGTCACACGCTGTTCGGTTTTCAGTGCTTTAAGGCCCACCCAGATGGCTCTCGTCTCAGCTGCGCTGGCTCATGTTCCCGCCGCCTGTGGGACGGGCTCTGCTCTCCCCGCCTCCCCCCTGCACTGGCTGTTGGGGTCTCCTCAAGGTGCGCACGCCTCACTGCGGTGTGACCTCAACTCTCTTATTAGAAGAGACGCTGAACATTCCGCCACGTGTCTATGGGCCTAAAATAAGACATCTGAACCAGAGGCGCAATTCAGGGGCGTCCAGTGCATCAGCAAGGCCGTGCCAGCGCCATCTCTAGCGAGTTCCTAACCCTCTGCATCACCCAACATAACAGCCTGTGTCCACCAAGCTGCTACTCCCTCTACTCCTGCCACCCCCAGCTCCTGCAGCCACCAAATTGCCTCTGCTTCTTTCACTGTGTATTCTAGATATTTCACGTGCACGGAATTTGCCTGGCGCTCTTGGCAGCACCACAGGCCAGAGCCCAGCAGTCTCCCTGGCTCACGAGTGAGATGCGGTCTCTGCACCCTAGAATATTGCTCAGCCATGAAGGGTGGGGAGCTCCGGGACGTCACTCAGGGGAAGCGGCCGAGCCACCTCTGAGGCCCACACGCCCATGGGTGCCTGCCCCAGCCCACAGGCCCCGCTGCACAGACCTACACCAGGGCCCACAAAGGCGCTTTTCTCCTGGGCCTTTCGCTGCGATCTCACAGCTGAAGTGAGAGGAAGGTCACAAGTCACTTCAGGGTTCTGTGCTTATTTTGTTGGTCAGCGTGACCCCCGCACGACTCTCCAGGCAATGTTTGGGGTTCCAAGCACACGCCCACTCCTGCCATGTTCTGGGCACAGACGGGCGCCCTAACTTGGACACAGGAAAACCCAAGCGGCCAAGGTCGGTGGCTCTTGTTTTGGATAAAACCAGCAAAGAGCAGGAAGGGGGCATATTTAGAGGCAGAGGTGTCCATTTAAGGGGTCTCCATCCCGCGGCTAACCGAGCAGTGCCGGACAGGCGGCAGCCAGCAGTCAGAGGCTCCAGAATGTTCTTGCAGGGCTACTGTTGACACTTCAGGTGTTTTCCAGAAACAGAATCTTCCACGTTGAGGAGAAGTGCACCTGTGCCCTCCCCGCCAGAATGCTGGACTAACCCTGGTCTGACTTTCCCACAGAATCTCAGACTTTCCATCCGTCAGGAGGGAGAAGAAAGCGGCTTCCCCCCGTGCCCACCTGCTCTTTCTAATGCCAGGTGTGGAAAGAGACAAAAGAACAGAAGAGAGAAAACGCCACCGCCTGGGCCTGCCTTTTGTACGTGAGCCTCATTTTTCTTTCGGTCAGAGAGTGAGTCCCTGCAGCCCCGCCGGTCTCCGCTAGCCTCGCAAGCTCCCGGGCTCTGTTTCAGCGCCTTTCTTCATGTGGGTTGGGGTGGGGGGCCCTGGGGCCCCTGGAGCTGGCCCCGTGGAGCCGACCCCCAGCGCGACGGCCTTTGCCAGAGCTGCGGGCACAGCCCAGGGCTCTCTGCACAGGAGGCTCTGCTGAGGCAGCTTTCGGCGTCGTCGTAATTCCCCAAAGGCTGTCATCTAACTAAGGCGTCTCCCCAGATGACACTCGCGCTCGAGAGCAGCCTTCCTCCCGGGAGCTGCGTGCCCGCGTGCCGCCGAGGAGGGGAGCAGGGCCGGGCCGGGCCAGGCAGCGCCACCAGGACCACCCGCGCCACGGTCGGTGTGGGGCTTCCCGCGCGACTGCAGCGAGGACCCCCGCCAGGGCTCCTTGACCGTGGCTGCGGGGCCTCTGTGGCCAGGCAAAGGACGAGGGGCCGCGTGGGAGCGTTACCTGTCGGTGCAGCCAGGCTTCGCTTTCGTCCTCGTGTTTCTGAAATGAAATAAGAGCGTCAGAAAAAGGATTCTGTGTGTGTGTGTGTGTCTGCGACCAGCAGCGCAGAAACAATTTGATTCCCTTGCACGGTGGCTGCATAAACACAGACAGCGCTGGGGCCGCCCAGGGGTTGCCGTCCCGGCTGAGCGCCGAGCGGAGGTGTCATCTCCGCGCCAACAGAGACGGGTACATGACAGGGAGTGCGAACACGTTGTTAAGCTCCAGGGACCCGCCGCCCTGCCGCCAGGCGAGGGCCAAGTCACCTGCGGGTGACGGCGAGTCCGACAGAAGCCGCCTGCCCTGGAAGCGGCCGCCAGGAGCTGCCGCCTGAGGCTGACCCAGCCCTTCCATCCCAGGGACGGCCGCGGCGCCGGAGAAAGAGTCACACAAGGGAGAAGTCTCCGTGTCTCCAACGTGCGCTCTCCAGACATCAGGATGGATGACGCCCCGGCGTTTGCCCCTCTCTGCTCGCAGAAGCCACGGAAATTTCTTTAGGTCAAGATAACTTAGGAAACCAAAAAATCTAAACCTGTGGATGAAAACCAGACTGCTCTGGGGTCCAGTCCTTGCCTTGATGTCTGATAGACTTTGTGTCTGACCTATTGAGACACACGCCCACCGGGGGTGACCGCTGGCCACACAAGGGCAAGCTCAGGGGCATCCTTGTTTTAGGGATTTGTGACCGTGAGGGCACGTGTGTGTGGATTTGTGCCAAATTTCCAGTTCACAGTTGTGAACACAGTCTGGTAGAACAAAACACTGAAAGGACTGGACACACGGGAGGCGGTAGGTGCGCAGGGGGAGACACGAGCCAGAGTCACCGCTCGCGCGCGTTGGCCCCGGCGGCGCTGTCCCTGGTGCTGACCGGGGGGCTCCGCGGGTGGCGCTGTCCCTGGTGCTGACAGGGGGGCTCCGCGGGTGGCGCTGTCCCTGGTGCTGACAGGGGGCTCCGCGGGTGGCGCTGTCCCTGGTGCTGACCGAGGGCGCTGCTGGCGGCGCTGTCCACGGTGCTGACAGCGCTGCCGGACCCAGGGAGGCAGGCTGCCTTCGCATGTGGGCAGGGATGGGGGACCGAGGCTAGGGGGAATTCCCAGGTTCCTAGCTGGGTGTCCACTCATCCTTCCTGGAAATCAAGCCCAACTTGCTCTAAACTGTATTTAAAAACAAGGATGCTTCCAAACCCACTGAAGACAGCAGGCTCAGAGCGTCCCTAGTCACGACACAGCCAGTGGCCGCCCTTTCTGCCTCAGCAGGGAAATTGGGATTCGCGGTCCAGGAAGCTGCTGAAAGAACTCCCTGCATTTATTAATTGATTTTAACTGGGTCCCCCTCAACACTAGCAAGTCTGCCTCTGAGGCCTGGAGATACCTGCAGCCCCCGGGGTGGGGCGGCCCGCACCTGGGGCTCCTTCCTTGCTCCCGCCTGTCCTAGGTCTCATCTCTCCTTTGCTCCCTGTGCTCCCCGTGCTTAGCGTCTCCCTACTTGAGCCTCTCTGACTGGCACGGTGTGTTAGGGGGCTCTGGGAGCACTCCTGGGCTTGCTGGAGACCTCTGAGACAGGTGGAGGGCAGCGCCGTGAGATGGGGCAAATCAGCGTAGGGCTGGCTCCACCGCGTCCTGCGGCTACAGGCCAGCCCCTCACCTCTGAGCACCACTCAGGAGATGCGGAGAGAGCTGGTCTGTGAAGCGGATGGTCGAGGATCAGGGAGCAGCCCTGGGTGAGCTCCGCTGCCGGCAGGAGCGGCCCATGGAGGAGGCCCGAGAGCTTGGCCGCAGCACCCAGTCCCCCCAGCAGGTGGCACTGGAGCAGAGCCCAGCACCGGGCAGGGACCTGACCAGGGAGCCACCAGGCCCAGCCAGCCCTGTCCAACCAGTCCCTCCCCAACTGCCCCGCTCCTACCTTCGTGCAGACCCCAGTGGTGGCGTCGCAGAGGGTGAGGATGGACACGTTCTGCGCGCGGCTCAGCCAGTTCACGGCGATCTTGGTGCTGGTGGCCCACTTCACCATGGTGATGTAGTACTCCCTGAGGACGCCAAGCGCAGTGTTAGGGGCTGAGAGCCGCGCCTCCGCGGGCACAGCCCGGGCCCTGACAGCGATATTGGGGGAGGCGCACCACGCCAGAGCTGCCCAGGAGCACGGCCCTTCTGGGCTGCTCCCTCAGCTGAGGGAAGTCATGTGGCCCAGAGTTAGCCGCCCTGTGCACCCTGGGCTGGGGTTCATACGGACTCCCTGTCTGCCCTGGGGTAGGGGTGCTGCTCCCGGGGCTCGTAAGCTGGGCTGCAGTGGGCTGTCCTGCTGGTTGGCTTTCTAGCCGGGTCTATGCACCCCTTCACGTTACTCAAAGTAGCCGGGAGGTCACAAGAGAGGTGGACAGAGCAAGAGCAGGAGGTGGGGCTGGAGGCTGGCTCCATCCCCCTGTCCCCCCTCTGTAGGGACAAGCTCCCCAGGGACATCTCGAGTGCGCTGGGGAACGTGGGTCTAAGCTCTGGGCATCAGGCTGACTGGCTTTGAGATTCCAGATGCCACGGGTCTGCTTTGTCTGAGCCTGGGGCCAGCAGGGTGTGGGGCCCTCTGTGTTTAGCACAGGGATGCTGGGCCCCTGGTAATAGCCCAGCCACCCACATCTCCCCAAACTGGGCTTGTAGCAGGAAGATGCACAAAGGGAGGGGGGAGCATCAGGAAGAGCCTCCCTCAGGACGCCGAGCAGGCTCCCGGCAGAGGCACTGCCCCAGCCTGTCTCTGTAAGGAGACCTGCTGCCCACCACGGCTGTCCATGGCCTGACCAGCCCCTCTGCCCCCAGAGGCCAAGGCAGTCCCTAGACAGCTCCTAGCAAGCTGGGGTGCATTTCTTAATAGCGCCCAACAGAGAGCCCCCCAGCACTCGGAAGTGAGTCCCCACGAGCCAGGCCAGAACCCTGCGTCTCCTGCTTCTCAGGCCCACCGTAACAGTTTCCAGCCACCTGGCCTCAGTTGGGAGCCCGGGGGAAGCGGGACTTGCCACCTGCCCCCATGGGCAGGGCCGTGCCCAGGGCCGCCGCAGAAGTCTCTGGAAGTTACCAAAGACCTGGGCGGGGAGGAGGGTGCACAGGCACCACCCAACTTTTGTGATTTTTCAGCCTTCTCGGTTTCTGTGGATGCTGAGGCAGGGCTGCCGTGTCCCCGCGTCTGCTCAGCCAGCCTGCCCGCCCTCCCGGGGCCTGATCTGTGTGTTGGCTGAAAGGTTCTCTCCTCCAGCCTCTCCCAGCGCCAGTGTGAAAGGCAGCCCATCCTTCTGGAACACTCCCTGGGGATCTCGCCTTGCCGTCTGCTTCGGGCCTGGGGGCTGGAGGCGCACTTACAACGGTGGAATTCGATCCACTCCCGGGATAATTGTAGGCACAAAGACATTGATTTCGATCAGGCCTGAAAGGCCCCCCGGGTCTGCCCAGCTCTCCTGCCAACGAGCACCCTGGCTGCTCAGGTGCTGTGTCCCTGCAGGCAGGGGCTGGCCGCTCGCAGACGTGGGCTGGGCGCGCACTGGGGTTTCTGGACGTGGGGTCCGTTCAGACGCTCACGCCGCGGTGTGCTCTAGTGACCTGGGGGTGCCTGGGGCCGGCGCCCAGCCCCCACCACGGGAGAGCAGCCCAACATGCTCGGCGGCCCCACCCCGAACTGAAGGGCGGTTCCAGGGGACTGTGACGCTTTCACACCTTTGTAAAATCAAACATGTGTCAGGCACACCTCGCGAGGGGGCCTCTGCACCGAGGTTACGTAAGGAGCAAAACAAGCGCCAGTTACAAGAACAGTGGAAGCATCAAAAGTCCCAGGCCGAGCCGCTCTGAGGCCCGTGCGGTGCCGCCCTGTCTGGAGCCCCCGTGTGGGCATCTCCGGCCCCGCCGCTGCCGCCTTCCAGCAGATGCGCCCCGGGCCTTTCACCTGAGCTGCCCGCGGCGGGGCCTCGGCTCACGGTCCCGGGGAGGTGACCTCGCCCCCCGGCCACACGCCCGGCCCAGGACGGCTTCCTGGCCAGGCCCAGCGCCGAGTGCGCGTCATGATCTGGAACAGGTCGAGCCAGCGCCAGGACAGCGCGGCCGGGAGGAGGCAGCGGGGTGCCAGCCTCTGTGGGGAGCCGGCCCGGGAGGGCGGAACACGGGCCTTTGGCTTTGGAGGGTTTGGTGCTGGTCTGAAGGGTCCTCACCACGGGGGGGTAGGGGGGCGGCAGAGCTGGATCATTTTTAGGAGAAAGACCTTCTAGAGAAGGCGGGGGACCCCGCTCAGCCCCGCGGCGGTGCCCGTGAGAGGCCCAGAGGCCCCCGAGAAGGGCCAGCGTCCAGGCAGCCCCGCGTCGGTGGCCGGTGCCAGGCATGGGGCTCCCCCTGGGGGACCCCAAAAGATACACAGGCGGTGCCCGGGGGGAGGGAGAAGGCTGGCGTGAGAGACACCATGAGAAGAAAGAGGCGCCATGAAGGGGGTGGAAAGAAACACAAGCTGCAGCGAGTTGATTCAGAGAAATGGAGAAAAATGTGGGCAAACTTCTCAAAATAAAAATCCTGCCGGGAAGGACTGAATTACCCCGTTTCCGCCGCGCCTGCTCGGCCCGACGCAGGCCCGGGAGCGCGTCTCGCACGGTAAATATTTAGCGTGTGTTGAGGGAGCACATCGCGTCCCGGCGGAAAGGCCCGCAGCTGCTTTTCTGCCAGGGGCGTCGCGGACACAGCCCCACGGTTCCCACGTGGCAGAGGCTGCAAGCAGCTGAGAGGGTTTCCAGGTAACGGCCCGAGAGGGTTTCCACACCACGCTGCCAATGACGTCACGCGGCTGCAGACGTCTCCCTGACGTCACCGCCAACGGGTGTGTCGGGGAGCGGAGCCTTAGGACCCCATTACCTAAGAATAGCTCGTATGAAAATGTAATAGTCAATAAAAGTGTCCGCCCCAAGCCGCGGCGAGAGGGAGACGAGCGCAGGGGACGCTGCTGGGAACCGGCTCATTACTCGTAACAGATGAGCCGGAGAAGCGCGTCTGCGTGTCTGCAAAGAATCAAAGGGAAACGGATGGAAATGCTCACAGAGGGGGCTGCAGGCGCGGGGGTGGGGTGGGGGGGGGCGCAAGCGGCTATTTCCGTAATGCACACGTCACTTGAAGAAGGTTGTTGAGAATAAGTTAAAGTTTTCCCATTTAAGTGGCTGACAGTGAAGTCTCCTTGCTGAAGCCGGACTGTGGCGACACAGAACGAACCTGGATGCAGCGACCCCCGGGACGGCAGCAGGGAGAGGCGCTGGCGCTGCGGGCTCGGCGCAGACCGTCCTGCGGGCTCAGCCAGTTGGGACAAGCAGGCCCCGGGCCCTGCGGAGCTGAGGCTGGGGAGCGGGACAGGCAGGGCGGACGGAGGCGGTGCACGCGGAGGGTCACCTGAGCTCTCTGGGTGAGTTAAATGATGAAAAACCACTTAGATATGTGATTGCCAAACCCAAAACACCTTTCGAAAGAAAAAGAGAGGTGGCTCAGAGGAACAAGCATCAGACGGACCTGAGAGCACCTTGACTGGTGCCGGGCAGAAGTGGCGACCCCGGTGCCCGGAGCCGGGCCGGCTCCCCTCACCCGGTCCCTGCAGGTGACGGTGCCGAGGCTGCAGGTCAGCGCCCGTGCTGCTGCCCCTTGCACGGCCCCTGTGAAGCCTCCTGCCCGGACCAGCTGCCGGCCGGCGTGACTCTGCGAGGCTCTTGGGGTGCGTTAGCCAAGGCCCACGCCGCTGCCAGGCAGGAGGAGGTGGTGGAGACAGCGCTGGCGTCCAGGCCACGGTCCTCATCTCCGGGTCAGCCCGCAGCGCGGGGGTCAGCTTCCTGGGCCTGCCCGCCCGCTGTCTTGCAGCCTGGGGGTGAGGCCCAGCGGTCTGGCTAAACGGGGTGCCCAGGGGCTTCCACTGATGCTCAGGTTTGAGACCATGAGCTAAGGGGGCTGGGGTGTGGCGCGGGCACCGGTGGAGGCCAGTCCCCTCGTCCCCTGCCTGTCCCTGCCCAGCAATCCGGGCAGGCAGGGAGCTCGGGCAGAGCCGGTGGACGAGGGCGATGGAGCAGAGATGGCAGGAGCAGAAGCAGAAGCCCCTAAAGACGAGACGGGGCCAAGTTTGAGAGAATCGGGGTGCAGTGAGGCGCTGAAGCCAGTGGCAGTCCCAGGGGCCAGTATCGACTGGGTCTGGAAACTGCACACGTCGCGTTTGGAAAAGAACACGGGACGCCACAGCGCAGGCCGGGCCCGGGAGGGACGGTCTCTCTACTCCCGAGCGCTCGTCTGCTCACACGCGCCCGCGGGCCGAGGGCCGGTCAGGGCTGGCGCACAGCAGGCGGGCACCGCCATACGGAGGGGGGACAGAGGAGCCCCCCAGCACCAGAAGGGGGTCATGGCAGGCAGGAGGGGCTGGGGAACAAAGACACCGCGTTTCCGTGACCTCCCAGCAAAGGCGCCTTCAAATCCAGAGCCGGTGGCTTTTCCTGGGGAGCAGCAAATGAATTTTTTATTAGCCCATTTGTTTGGCATAAAATATTAACGGGGTGTCATCTCGCCTCACAGGAATTACTGCGCCTGTTGCCGCTAGGCTTCCCGGATCCTGGCCTGGGTCCTGGCGGCCGCGTGCGACAAGCACGGGGGTAAAGGCTGCTGATCTGGGGCACAGGACCCGCAAGCTGCTCTGGTCCTCTCCCGCCGCCGCGGCTCCAGGGATCCGGCTGGAGCAAGGAAAACGCTTGGAGAGAAAAATGTCTCTACTTGATGCTCTTAAATAGGAAGCGTCTTTGCTTAGGAAGCTGAAGCGATACCAGACGTGACGAACTGCGTGGCCACACCTGAGCGGCCCCCCATGGCTGAGGGATCACGCGGATGTGCCCGCGGGCCGTGTGCCCTGCGCCACGCACAAGACCGTGACCGTGACAGGGGACGATGATGCGAGCTTCCGTCAGCTCACCTGAGAGAAGGAAAGATCTTCCATCTCACGGCTGCCAATGCAGAGGCAACTGTGGGGGGCCGGAGGGAGAAGCAAGGGGGTGTC